ACCCTCATCTCCTGTGCTGGTAAATCCCTGCCGTGGAAGACGTTTAAGCCTTTCAATGGTGCCTCATCCGTTAAGTAAGCCTATAGGAAGGTAAGAGTGAGGTAGTGTGGCAAGTAGGGTAGACTAAGACTTGAACTGTAAGCTGGAGCCAATTTACATTCCTGCTAACTGTACCTTCAAGTGTGGGGATTGTGATAGAGCATGCAGGGTGGGGGACATTTAAATGTGCAGATAAAGACTCTCGCAGCACACCTCTTTAGTAACAAATTTTTTTATTACAACATTTCACTGCTTTTTCTTTCCATTTCTGGTAATGGTTTGTGGCAGAGTAACATGACTGCTGGGAATATACAAAACTCCAAAAGAATTTCGCTCTACGGTTCAAAGCAAACACATGGAATCGATTGGCAGAATCATTTCTTTCCTTTTCTCTCATTTGAAACGATTCAGAGACGACACAGAAGCCGTCCTGAATCACTCCACAAAACAAACGAAAAAGGGCCAAAGCACGTTACATTTTCACCGCATCTCCCAGAATCTAGATGGCATCCGTTACACTTTCTTAAATCCTTGTGTACATACAAAAGAAAAAAAAAAGAAAACACTGAAACAACAGTATCAGTTTCTTTTTCCAGGTTGTGGGGGGGAGGGGTACATTTTGGCCAGCGTACAGACGAAGTTGTGCATTTCCGAAAATTAGAAAAACAACAAAAACAAAACCAAAAAAAGCTTGACGCCTCAGCTTTGGCGCAAAAGCAGCCACACAGAAAGTTGGGTGGTGGTTGGTGGGTTTTGGTGAGACGGTGATGAGCTTCCTGGGACGCAGGCCACGCCCCATCCCTCAGGCCTCTCGCCCTCTTGACACTGCACGTCGATCTTGGTGGTCAAGGCGGTGTTAAAAGGACAGACGTGCACATTCACCGACCATCTTCTGCAGTCCCCTCCCTTCCCTCTCTGCCTCAGAAATCTTCCTCATCTCTTCCCTGACGGAAGGACGAGCATGACGGTGGTTAAAGGTGACAGTAGTAAAGGGGTGGGGGTCGGGGTGGGCGCTCTGGCGAAGGCATCATCCATCCACAGGCTGTGCAGCTTGGTTATCGTTTCATAATTTCGGTTACAGAGTTATACAGCTAAAAAGAAGTGACTGAAAACAAGGCAATGCAGGAGGAGGGGTGAGGGGTGTACAGTGCATGACGGGAGGCGGGGGCTTCACGACGTCGCTTGCTTCTCCTGTTCGATGGCTGTGAAGGAGAGGAGAGAGGAAAGAAGGAGGGGTAAGGAATGATACGACAAGAATCGTGCAAAAAAAGAGGAATCCAGAAGAAACGAGGACACCAACTTTCTTTCGTAGGCAGGGGATTCTTCTCCTGCGTCTCTGTCTTCTTCAGCTTGGACTTGTCAAACTTCTCCACCTCTGCAAGGTCGGGCTTGTCGCTCATTGTTGCAGTTAGTCTGAGAAAAGATGGAACAACCAGGGAGATGATTATTAATATTCCTCCCGCCTCACCACGCAAAGCTGTGCAACAAAAAACAAAACACTAAATATACACAGCGCATCAAATCTGACATGTCAATGACTTTTATTTGATTTCTGGAGAGGGCAGAAAGCACCGAGCATGTGGACCAAGCTGACATTTTTAATCAGTCGAAGGGCGTTGCCTAAAAATCTCAGCCACCAGAAATCGACGGCTCGAGATGAAGTTGACTGCGCAACCGCAGACTACTTTTTCCCTCGAATGTGCCGCCGATGAGTCCGCCTTCTTTTGTTCGCCTGCGGCTCAGCCCTGCCTGATTTGACTGCCTGCCATCCATCCCGTTACCCAACACACGCACACAAAGTGCACACACACACCGGGATGTTGCACACAGGGAGGGGGGAAGACAATGAAGCCCGTCCAAGGCGTTCAGCGCGCATTTACATAACAATAGGAGTTCCCATGCTGGGCACAGCGAGGAGAAATATGAGGGAGAGAAAAAAAAAAAGGGGGGGGGGGGGGAGCCAACTTGTGCGCATTATTTAAAATATGACGCTGAGTGAATAAAAACTGGAATATTCTAAATGTTGTTAAATATGGATTTCTGAGCGTCCACTAGCCTGGAAACTGCGCACAACATCCGCAAAATTCACTTGTTACGTACTTCTCCCTTTGGTGCGCAATCTTCAAGGAACCACCGCCCTGATTGGCGTTCAGCTGCTTCACCCAGCTCGTTAAAAATTTTTTTTTTTTTTTTTTTTTTTTTAAACCTCCACCCTAAACATTTGCTCCAACAAACCCACGAGGGAAAATATCTAAATGCGTGGTTTTATGAAGGGAACCAGGTGGGTGCAGGGCTCCCTCTCTGACTCCCTCACACACACACAGACACACACACAGAGCAACAAAGGAAATGGGCTGATATGCTTGAGACAAAGACGCTGCACACACGCCCACCCTGCTGTCACATTTACTCTGATGGGATCTTAGAAAAACCTGCAACCCTCTTAACTCAAGGACAGAAAGAAAAGAGGGAAAAATCGAATCATCTTCTGTCTCGTTTTTCTTTGCTGTGGCATCACTTTTGGCACAACATCCACTCCACTGCGCATTTACCCGCATCGACAGTCTCAGCTCTCCCAGCTGCACGCGGTGAAGCACAAAGAGGCTGATCACAAAAGAAGAAAAGCAGCACGAGATGCCGAGCAGCTGTTTACTCACCGATGTGTCGGCTGATGTCTGGAAACGTTGTGCTCGGCGCGCTGTTGCAGCAGTAGTGGCGCGTCTTTGCGCAAGCGTTAGATATACTCAGAAATATGCTAATGACATCTGACATCACCGCTCCCCCAGACCGTCCTCCGGTGCCCCCTGCTGGAGGAAAGCTCTGAATGCTCCATCCACACACAGACACACACACACACACACACACACACCACCTCTTGAAGTAAGCTCTTATTATTATTATTATCATTATTACGTGACAGATGAAAGGAATGAAAGATGTGGGTTTCTGCTTTTTGTGTCCGTGTTTTCACTGTGAAATCCCCACTGAGCTGAATGCTACTCCACTCCTCTAGTTTCATAACATGATGCCACTGCACTGAGTGCAGCATCAGCACGTCTGACTGACTCGCTCTTTTGCGTTCGCTCAGTTTGATCTGGAAATCGCTCCCTGAAAGCCTGACCTGTGGAAAATTGTTAAAAAACTGCGTCCTTCCTGATATGACTTCCACGTGCCACTGACTGCACTTCCGTGCGTGCTGGGCTCCACCTGGTGGCAGCTTCATTTGAGCTGTGCGTCTCCCTCTTTTTGCATTTCCATTGTGATTAATTTGTAGATTAGATTGGATTCAAGATGAGTTTCTCCAAAGGATCTGCCTTTAAATCCAACCATACGTAGGGAGTTCTATACTAAATTGTGACCTTTGACCTCCCCAGAGACTCCCTGGACATCTTTATTGAGACTGATTAAACTGCAGAAATACATTTCCTCCACAGAGGCTTTGATTAGGAAAATATAGACACAGTAATGCACCGATACATAAGCCTCTCTGACGGGTCATCAGACACGCCGCCTCCCCATCCTGTCACACCATCTCTCATTACGACCTTCAATACATCCATGGATCTTCTCTGTGGTCTTCTTTTCCTCCCACCTCACAGGCAAGCGCTTTGATACTGAAAGCATTAAGAACAATGTATGTAAGTGCATTTGCCAAAAATGCAGCCTTTAAACTTTCTTCAATCACCATCACAATCAGCAACAGCTCAGCTTTTCTGCGTGCATTCACAGTCGGGCTGTAAACGGGGTTTATTAGGATCCTAACTTGGGAACAGTTAAAGGTGTGACCTCCTTTTAGACGTCAGAAACAAGTCAAAGGGCCTCTGAGATAAAGACAGAGATTATTTATTTATCTTTCTAAGTAAGAGGTTCAGAGCTTTACATGAACTGTGTATTTGTGCAAGTTTACAAATACTGTTCAACTGTTCTTTAACTCAAATATGTAATCAGCCAATCACATGGCAGCAACTCACCTCATTTATGTAGACACATCAAACCTGCTGAAGGTCAAACTGAGAATCAGAATGGGGGAAGGAAGGTGATTTAAGTGTGGGCTGGTCTGAGTGTTTCACAAACTGCTGATCTACAGAGATTTTCCCACACAGCCACCAGAATGGTGTGAAAAAGAGAGAATCTCCAGTGAGCGGCAGTTCTCTGGGAGAAAACGTCTCGTTGATGCCAGAGCTGAGAGGAGAAAGGCCAGACTGCTTTGAGATGGCAACAATAACTCAAATAATTTCACAGCTGAGGTATGCAGAACAGTCTGAGTGTAAAATGCATTGAACCTTGATACAGATGTGCTACAGCAGCAGAAGACCACACTGTGAGTCACTCCTGTTAACAACAGCAATCTAAAGCTACAGTTCAGGTCCACCAAAGTTGGACATTAGAAGATTAGAACACGTCGTCTGGTCTGATGAGTCTTGATCTGCTGTAACATTCAGAAGGTAGAATCAGACCAGCTCCCTCTCCTGGTGGTGTAACGGGGTGGGGGATACTTCCTTGGCACACTTTGAGCCCCTCGAGCATCGTTTAAACTGAACCTGCCTGAGTGTGTTTGCTGACCACGTCCGTTCATCTTCTCGCGGTTTCTTCCAGCAGGATGATGCTCAATAACCCCCAAACTGGAGTTCACTGGACTCGAACGGCCTCCACAGTCACCAGTCTCAGTTCGGTAAACTGGAACAGGAGGCTGTGCTGCCAACGAATCTACAGCAACGTTGTGATGCTGTCATGTTTCCAGCACCTTACAGGACAGTTAAAGCAGCTCTGAAAGCAAAAAAGGGTCCAACCAACTACTAACAAGGTGTACCTAACAAAGTGTCAGGTGAGTGTATATTCCACCCAAAACTTGTCAGTTGAGAACATTTTAACTCCCATCTTACCACTTTTACAATGTTGCTGCTCATGTTTTTCTTTAGTGCCACTGAACAGGAGCGCAGAGATGATGAGGAGAGCGTCGGTAAGCCAATGTCAAAAGCTTTATTGTCAAAGTGTTACACAGATATATATATATGTATATATAAAAAGAGAAGAAATCACATTTTTATGCCAACTTTTCAATCCACCTGCAGGCAAATGTGACCCATTACAGCTGATTCACCTTTAAAAGAACAAACAAATTACAGCTGAAATCGACACTAGAACAAAGCTTTATGCTCCATTTCTCATCGTGACCTCTTGTTCTCGTATTCGTAGTTAAATCTCCTTTTAGTGCGATTCTCAGGAAGGAAGGCTGCCCTAACATCGTGCAGCTGAACCAGGCAAGAAACGAGGAACTAAAACAAAGTGTTCGCAGCTCTGACTCGACTCTGTGCCCGTGGTCACGTCGGTACAGTCACGCTCGCCATGCAGCTTTTAAACTACGCTCAGGAATACGGCGCTAAGCTTAAACTACCAGAATCAAAGTGTTAAAGAGTTCGGCTACAACTAGAATACTTTCAGCAGCTCTGAAAAAGCAAACACTTGAGTGACAGCAGGGGACGGGGATACATTTTCATGTTTTATTACTTTGTGAAGCATAATGGGCCAGAAATATCGCTGACCATGACACAGTGGAATGCTTAATTTAAAGTGAGGTACAAATAATACACGGTGTTACATAATGGACCCTTTGGTTAAAGTGGAGGCCAATGAGTGTTGGGCTCAAGGTTAGCAATACTGAGAGAGAGAGAGGGGGGGGGGCACAAAAAACTAAAAAAGCTCATAAATACAAAGTTGGTCTTCGGAGGAAGAAGTGATATTTCTCTGTCTGCTGGGTGAGATGTAAAGGGCAATGTGTGGGCGTGACCTTTAAACAGTCACATGGGCTTTTGGCTGAAACCCATCAGGCCTCTTTTGTTTTCAGCCTTAACTGGAGGAGATGTGCCCGAAAGCGTTGGCCCCGTGGCCTGACGAGCTCCTGTTCTCTACAAGGGTACGTGGCTGAAGAGGTAGGACACTGACTCGCCGTTGTGGGTTCTCCTGATGGCCTCCGCCAGGATCATGGAGATGTCGATGACCTGCAGGAAATAACGAGTTTGTAACGTGAGATAGAAAGTAGCACAAATCACATCTGCTGCATACCTCCTCCAGCCTTCTTCTTCTTCTTCTTCTTTTTTGTTGTTGCACGGCCTGTTTAACTGCAGGACAGCCGTGGCTGTCCACCCTGTTTCTACAACTGTTTGTGTATAAAACACTTTTGTTTAACACATTTTAACAATGCTCTGGCCAGTGTTCGTCTAGTGAGCACAGGCTGACAGATCACCGTTTACCCCAACATGCTGGGTGTGAAGCACTCACAACAATTTACTCTGCAGGAGGCTGTAAAGTTTCCTGAAAGGAGCCTGACACGAGTCGATGAGTCAGTGATGACAGCGATGCTGAGGGGAGTTGTTGAGCTTTTCCAGACCTTCGCAGTCGGTAAGCGTTGCTGTTTTTGCCGCTGTTAGGGACACTAGGGCTGCTCAATTAATCGAATTTTAATCTAAATTACGATCTGGGCTTTCAACGATCATTAAAAATGACTGAGCCGATTATTAGCCCCTCCCTCTTGCTTTACTCTCGCGCTGCTCCGTGTGGCAAATCGAGCGCATCTTTCTGCGTTTCGAACACGCGTCACAACAATTAAGAGGACCCGAGGGAAGCTCGGAAAGCTAAGCAGAAGTTATTTGGGGAGGAGAGTGACTGCCGTTGGTTGAAAAGAGGTAAAAAAAACTTCAGTGGTGTGGAAACATTATGGGTTCGCGGAATCAGACGTGGATCAAGTAGACATAGTGTGTAAACTTTGCTACAGTGTCGTAGCTGCACCACAGAGCAACACTGCAAAGTTCCCTAAACATAGATGTTTACATTTTTCATTTATTTCTTATATTGCAAACATTTGCACTGTTATCAGTATTTGCACACTATTTTATGACAATCTTTAAAGTCATTATTCAATACATTGTTATTGTTAAATAAATATCGTCAAATAATCGAGATCTCAATTTCAGTGAAAATAATCGTGATTATCATTTTTGCCATAATCGAGCAAACCTAAGGGAAACTTTCTTTGAAGTGGCTCTAACGTTGTCAGACTCGGACACTTGGTGAACGATCTCTCACACGTGAGAGTAGTTCAACTGTTCAGAGGGAAAGTGTGACGTTCAGGAAATTCGAGGCCTAATGTTAGCCAGCATTATGCTAGCCTAATGTTAGCCAGCATTATGCTAGCCTAATGTTAGCCAGCATTATGCTAGCCTAATGTTAGCCAGCATTATGCTAGC